GAAAAAAAAAAAAAAAGCAAAACCCCAAAACGGAACAGAGACAGTTTTTGTTTTTTGTTTTTTTTTTGAGATGGAGTTTCGTTCTTGTTGCACAGGCTCGAGTACAGTGGTGTGATCTCGGCTCACTGCAACCTCTGCCTTCTGGGTTGAAGCAATTCTCCTGCCTCAGCCTTCCGAGTAGCTGGAATTACAGGTCCCACCATCACGCCCGGCTAATTTTGTATTTTTAGTAGAGACAGGGTTTCTCCACGTTGGTCGGGCTGGTCTGGAACTCCCAATCTTAGGTGATCCGCCTGCCTTGACCTCCCAAAGTGCTGAGATTACAGGCATGAACCACCGCGCCTGGCACAAGAACAGAGACAGTTCTGTATCCCAGAGGGATTTATTTGTGATGCCTGCTCAAAACTCAAGAAGCCATCACCCTAATACTCATCCAGCCCCGGAGAAATTTCGTTTTTAAGAGTGTCAGAAGGTCCCATGAATAACCGTGCAGTCACTGAAAGAGCTCCTTACTCAGCAAGTCCCGGTCTCTCTTGCACTCGGGCCTCGCAGAGGGCCTCGTGCGTAGACTGGCGGTCCAGCCTACTGGGGACACTGCCCGGGCGCACCCCGCGCCGCCTTTGGCCACTGAGGCCCGGGTCCTCTAGGCGCCGGGCTAGGGAAAGTCTCCCGGCCGTCAAGGCTGGGGCAGCGCCGGGGGACTGGGGCGGGTTGCTTGCGCCGGGGGGGCCTAGAAGCTGCAGGGCTGGATGGCGCTAGCGGGTGCCAGGCACCGAGACCCCTGAGGCGGAAGGGACAGCTAGCGGTTCGGCGAGACTGGCAAGCCCCGGGCGCCCAGCTCCGCGTGCGCGGCCGCTGCGGGAGCTTGTCCGCAGGCGGCCATCAATCTTCGCCTCACTCGGCTCTACCTCGGTGGCCGCGCCCATGCTGCCCCCGCCACAACTAGTCACGAGGAGCCGCGGGCTGCGCTCTAGATGCTCACTTCGAGGACTTTCCGCCTGCGTGCTCTCTGCCCGCCGCCACCCACGGCCCGGCTCCGGGCAGCTCGCTTCACCCCTCCCGGCTTCCTGGGGCTAGGACACACCATCAAGTCGAACCGAATCCTCCTTTTTTCCTAGACAAGCCGGGGCGGGGGGAGGGGGCCGCACTTCCGGCCCACGTGAGCCGGCGTCGTGCGTGGCGTCTGAGGGTCGGGCGTCTCGGGCGTCTACCTGGAGTCACTGAGCCCACCAAAAGGAAAAGGTTAGTCCCTGTCCAGGAAGAGCACAGCCTAGTGGGGCGGGCAACAGGTTACAGTTGCTGCCTTACAATGGCTGGGGCCCATGGAGACACTAGACCCTCATTAGGGGTCTGTCAGGAAAGGCAGCAGATACGCGAGGCCTGTACAGGAAGGAATTGGGAGACCCAAGACTGTACCGACAAAACTGCTTTGGAGTCGGGCAGACCTGGATTTGAATTTGTTTCTTCACTTACTAGTTGTGGGTCTTTGGGCAAATTTGCCTTTTTCTTCTTCTTCTTTTTTTTTTTTTTTAAAAGATGGGGTTTCACCATGATGGCCAGGCTGGTCTTGAACTCCTGACCTCAGGTGATCCACCCACCTCGGCCTCCCAAACCAAAGTGCTAGGATTACAGGAGTGAGCCACCGCGCCCGGCCTCTTTTTCTTTTTTTTTTTTTTTTTTTTTGAGACGGAGTCTCGGTCTGTCGCCAGGCTGGAGAGCAGTGGCGCCATCTCGGCTCACTGCAACCTCCGCCTCCCGGGTTCAAGCGATTCTCCTGCCTCAGCCTCCTGAGTATCTGGGATTACAGGCGTCCACCAACAGGCCAGGCTAATTTTTGTATTTTTAGTAGAGACGGGGTTTCACTATGTTGGCCAGGATGGCCTCAATCTCCTGACCTTGTGATCCACCCGCCTCGTCCTCCCAAAGTGTTGGGAATACAGGCGTGAGCCACCGCGCCCGGCTTGCAAATTTGCCTTTCTAGGCCATAGTTTCTTATTTATAAAACAGGGTTAACAGTTGCACTCACTGAGGTAAATACAAGAGAAAATTGATGTTAAGTGCTTATCTTGGCACCCAACACATACTTAGTACTAAAAAATAATGGAGATAGGTAAAGAGGGAGCAATCTTGGCAGAGGGAACAGCCCATGGAAAGGCCACAGTTCAAGAGAGCGGTGCCTACATTCTTGGGAAACTGCAGAGAGTTCATGGGTAAATAATGGGTTAGGAAGGAAACTCATTTGCAGAAATGGCAAGTCTGACCTAGTTGGGGAACGCTTTCTGCAATTTCGCATTTTTAGTAGAGACAGCGTTTCTCCATGTTGGTCAGGCTGGTCTTGAATTCCTGACCTCAGGTGATCTGCTTGCCTCGGCCTCCCAAAGTGGGGAAACCCCACTATAGTATCATATGCCTCTCATTTCTGGCACTTAATATGGTTGCAACTTTATTAATGATTCTAAATAGTTTCTCTTCTACTATCATAAGCTCCATAAGGGCAGAGGCTGTTGTCCATTTATGCTCATCCTGCTTTGTAGCACCTGATGGTTAACACATATTAAAAGCTCAATAAGGCCTGGCATGGTGGCTCACGCCTGTAAGCCTAGCACCTTGGGAGGCTGAAGCTGATATATCACGAGGTCAGGAGTTCAAGACCAGCCTGACCAATTTGGTGAAACCCCGTCTCTACTAAAAATACAAAAATTAGCTGGGTGTTGGCATGTGCCTGTAATCCCAGCTACTCAGGAGGCTGAGGCAGGAGAATGGCTTGAACCCAGGAAGCAGAGATTGCAGTGAGCCGAGATTGTGCCACTGCACTCCAGCCTGGGTGACAGAGCTAGACTCCATCTCAAAAAGAAAAAAAAAAAAAAAAAAAAGGCAGCTCAATAAATATTTATGGCACAAGTGGATACCCCTCTTCCTCAAAGAGATTATCAGACTCTGACTTTTCCTCAGTTTTGGTCTTCCTGGAGTTTGGTTCCTTAGCTGTTTAAAATCTTATGAAGGCAAACTTTGATCATGTAGGCTCTTTTCTCAAAGTTCCAAAGTAGACTGCTCCCTAATAGGTTTTATTCTGCAGAATTCAAGTTTACACATTGGACACTACTACATTAGCTTCTGCTACCTATACCAACTTTGGGCTTTTATTTAATAAATTATCTGATTATCTAAAGATTAACTCTTTTGTTCTCCTTCAGTCCCCACTGGCCTGTAAATTCCTTGAACAATGACTGTCCTTCTTTGGCCCCATCTAATTATGGCCTCTGGCACATACTAAACAGTCACTAAGTAATTCTTAAATAACTTTTATTTCAACATTCACAGTTGAAAACATTCCATACTGTAACAAAAGTTTCAATCTTCTTTCAGAAGCCCAGTACCCTTAGTTTGATTCAAGCTGCCTCAGAGGTGAATTGGTTAGTTTGCAATCTGGAGTTTGCAAGTAATAATTAATATTTGAAAAAGCCTAACGCAGATTATATATTTGCCCACAAAAGGGATAAAAAGACTAATAAAAATGTTAAATTATTTGCTTTTGGCTGTAATTTTAGTACCTAGGTCTGCCTACATGGTGCCAGTCAGAAGTATAATTTGCATTGTAGATGCCTTTATGTAATAAATTAATAAATGCAGTTTCATAAACATAATTTTCTAATCTTTTAAAACACAGGACATAGGGGGAATAAAAAGAGGGCCTTGGTGGTTAAAAAGTTGGAAACCACTGCATTAAATTACCTTCAAATCCCTTTAAGTATCCTGCTTATCCTTATAAACATTAGCTCTCACTGTACAGCACTGTAAAGACAAGTAAGAGTTTGACTTCTTTTTTTTTGAGATGAAGTTTTGCTCTTGTTGCCTCAGGCTGGAGTGCAGTCGTGCAATCTCAGCTCACCACAACCTTTGCTTCCCAGGTTCAAGCAATTCTGCCTCAGCCTCCCGAGTAGCTGAAACTGCAGGTGCACCCCACCATGCCCAGCCACTTTTTGTATTTTTAGTAGAGACAGGGTTTCACTATGTTGGCCAGGCTGGTCTTGAACTCCTGATCTTGTGATCTGCCCGCTTTGGCCTCCCAAAGTGCTGGGATTACAGGTGTGAGCCACCATGCCTGGCCTACACTCCTTACTTTCAGAGGGTTTTTTTTTCCTTTCATTTTTTTTTTCTTTTCTTTTTTCCTCTGAATAAACCAATGCTTTGACCAAAACACAGGGTTGTTTTTTTTTTTTTTTCCCCAAATTTAAACTTGTCACTGGACTAGGAAGACACGATTGAAATGGCTCTTTCCATGAAAAATTTAGTTTTGTGGTTGTTGCCAAAGTGATTTACAATGCTTTTAACAATGATAGACATCCCCTAAAACATTCTCAAGTAATTATACCCTTGGGGTGGTGCAGTGGCTCATGCCTATAATCTCAACACTTTGGGAGGCTGAGGAGGAAGGACTGCTTGAGCCCAGCAGTTTGAGACCAGCCTGGGCAACAGAGTGAGACCTTGCCTCTTTGCATTTAAACAAATAAATAAATAATTTAAAAAGTTACATCCTTGGGACCATATTCTAGTGTCAACTCTGAGACAGAAAAAAAAGGCGACTATGTCCAAGAGCTTTTAGCTTTTCCACTTGATTCTACTTACATGTTTTTCATCCAGTAGGACTTTTCTCTACTTTCCCACCTTCACATGAATTTTCTAACAATAAAACTCATTTGTAATGCAATAAGATGTAGTCTCCATCAGGCTTTTCCTAGTTTTACTACATCATTAGGTTGCTGCTACCTATTAGAATACGTCCTGTTTGTAGATTCTTAGGGTCCTCAAATTCCTTTCCAATGTGAAGTTTCTGGTGTTTAAGAAAACCTATCTACCCACTGAAGGCCTTACCACAGTTGCTACATTCAAAGGGTTTCTCTCTGGTATGAATTCTTTGATGACTAACAAGGTGTGAATTCTGACTGAAGGCCTTCTCACATTCAGGGCATTCATAGGGTTTCTCTCCAATATGAACACGATGGTGTCTAATAAGATCTGAGCTGCCCCTAAAAGATTTCCCACATTTGTTGCATACATAAGGTTTTTCTCCACTATGAATTCTATGATGTCTTACAAGGTCTGAGCTCTGATTGAAAGTTTTCCCACATTCTTTACATTCATATTGTTTCTCTCTTGCATGAGTTACCTGATACTGATTAGGTTTGAGCTGTCCTGGAAGGTCCTACCACACTGATTACACCAATAAGCTTTCTCTTCCTGGTGAATTCTCTGCTTTTCCCTAAGCTCCTCATCCTTGCTGAAAGTTTTCCCACATTCTTCAAGTTTCTCTCTAGCATGCAGTCTCTGATGTTTGAGGAAACCTGTACGCCACATGAAGAGTTTCTCACATTCCTTACATTCATAGGGCTTCTCACCACTATGAATTCTCTGATGTTGAATAAGGAGGGAATGCCGCCTGAAGGCTTTCCCACATTTATTGCACTGATAAGGCTTCTCTCCAGTATGGATTTTCTTGTGTGTAGCAAGGTGTGACCTCTGGCTGAAGGCTTTCCCACATTCACTACATTCATAGGGTTTCTCTCCAGTATGAACACGATGGTGTCTAATAAGATCTGAGCTGCCCCTAAAAGATTTCCCACATTTGTTGCATTCATAAGGTTTTTCTCCACTGTGAATTCTATGATGTCTCATAAGGTCTGAGCTCTAATTGAAAGTTTTCCCACATTCTTTACATTCATATGGTTTCTCTCCTGTATTAGTTACCTGATGTCTGATGAGGTCTGAGCTGCCCTGGAAATTCCTACCACACTGATTACACCAATAAGCTTTCTCTTCCTGGTGAATTCTCTGCTCTTCCCTAAGCTCCTCATCTTGGCTAGAGATTTTCTCACATTCAAGTTTCTCTCTAGCATGCAGTCTCTGATGTTTGAGGAAAGCTGTACACCAAATGAAGAGTTTCCCACATTCCTTACATTCATAGGGCTTCTCACCACTATGAATTCTCTGATGTTGAATAAGGAGGGAACAGTGCCCGACGGCTTTGCCACATTCAGTGCACTGATAGGGCTTCTCTCCAGTATGGATTTTCTGGTGTGTAACAAGATGTGACCTCTGGCTAAAGGCTTTCTCACATTCACTACATTCATAGGGTTTCTCTCCAGTATGAACACGATGGTGTCTAATAAGATCTGAGCTGCCCCTAAAAGATTTCCCACATTTGGTACATACACAAGGTTTTTCTCCACTGTGAATTCTATGATGTCTCGTAAGGTCTGAGCTCTGAATGAAAGTTTTCCCACATTCTTTACATTCATATGGTTTCTCTCCTGTATGAGTTACCTGATGTCTGTTGAGGTCTGAGCTGCCCTGGAAATGCCTACCACACTGATTACACCAATAAGCTTTCTCTTCCTGGTGAATTTTCAGCTCTTCCCTAAGCTCCTCATCCTTGCTGAAGGTTTTTTCACATTCTTTAAGTTTCCCTCCAGTGTGTAGTCTCTGATGTTTGAGAATGGCTGTGCGCCCACTGAAGGTCTTCCCACATTTGTGACATTCATAGGGTTTCTCTCCACTGTGGAGTCTCTGGTGTTCAGTAAGACAAGAACGCTGCCTAAAGGCCTTTTCACATTCATTACACTTGAAGGGTTTCTCTCCAGTGTGAATTCTCTGATGTGTGACAAGGTGTGAACTTTGATGGAACATCTGTCCACAATCATAACATTCATAGGGTTTCTCTCCAGTGTGAATTCTGTGATGTATAGTAAAATCTGAGCTTTGACTGAAGGCCTTCCCACATTTATTGCATAAATATGGCTTCCCCCCACTGTGGATTCTCTGGTATACGATGAGGTTTGAGCTTCCCTTAAAACCCTTCCCTTTACACTCTTCACTCTACACTCATAGGGATTCTCACCACTGTAAATTTGCTTATGTCTGACCAGATTAGAGCTCTGATTGAGGTCTTTTCCACATTCATGACATATATAAGTTTTCTTTCCTTTATGAATTCTCTGATGTATAATAAGATTTGAACTTTGATGAGAGTCTTTCCCACATTCATTACACACACATGGTTTATTTCCTGTATAAATTATCTGATGTATGATTAGGTTTGAGCTCCTGCTTAAGGTTTTTCCACATTCCTTACATTCATAGGTATTATTTATACTACAGATTTTCTGATGTTCAGTTAATCCTGACTTCTGTTTGAAGTTTTGGCCACAGACGTCATATCTATTGGAGCTTTCTCCTGTACAAAGTATTTTTTCTCCTTCGTTACATCCATGGCCAATCTCTCCACAATGGCTTTCTCAGGGATAATATGCATTTCCCAAATCTCTCTCTCGGGAAGGGAGATGTCTCACTGCATCCTTTAAAGGGTTTACCCAGTGCTTTAATAATCTGTCCTCAG